TTTTATTCGTAAAAAAATTTGGGCGTAACTCCTTTCGTTTTTTTTTTTAATTTTCATATGAAAAGAGTCAACACATTTATTACATTTGGTCGAAAATAGTGCGTGGGCGAAAATAAGAAGATCATTTTTGGGTGAAAGTAATCTCGCCCATAAATTCATGTTATTTCAAAAACTTGTTAATATCTTTGTATGCATATATTTGTTCAGTGCAACAAATAAGAAAAATTCTCGGGAGATGGTCATATCTCCTCCGGTCATTCTTCTTTTAAATTTTTAACTTTATAGCCATGTTCTGAATATTTTAGTTTTTTTTTTTTGAATCCATCCTAAAAATAATTCATCTAGAACTTCAGTGACATATTATATTAATTTACTATCATCTTTATTCAAGGTTTTGATTTTGGCATAATAAAATGACAAAACATAAAATAATGTAACGCTATCTATAACAAATTATTCGAATATCACGATAACCTTTATTTATTTAATTTAAAAAGTTTTCTGTAACTAAATTTAATACTCACAATAGAACAAAAAATTAATACTCAGTAACATTAAGCAGTATATTTAAGTAAAATATTTTCTATTTTTACTAATTATCAAAAATCAATCTTGGTATAAAATTTCACACAAGACTCGGTGCTGGTTGATATTCACTACCTGAATGATAGATTTCGAGAAATCAAAAATAATGGAATATTAATAATATTTAATTTAGTATAGTAAAATAATGTACGTTTAATTAATGAAAAAATAAAATAAGGAAATATTTATGAAGTATAAACATTTTAACAACTGTATTTGCGTACCTATTGTTTTTTGTTTCGAACATTAAATGCTGCAATAAGTGGCAAAGTAGACTTGTTCAAACCCGAACTCCTGTAAATTGTACAACATAATAGGAATATATGATTTTCATATGATTTTTGTAAGTTTTTCTACAAACTCAAATTTTACTGGTATTTAACTTTTTTTCTTTTTAATATTTATACATTTTTCTATTTTTATTTAATTTGCCTTTGACGTATACATTACAGCAAAATATTTATACTTTATAATTTAATATATTTCTTAATTACGTAAAAATATTTTTTATGAGTTACCGATTTTAAAGTTACTGTAAAAATACTATTATTATAAACGTATTTATAATTTGAAAATTTATTCAGATCTAGAATTTTGATTTTTAATTGTCTCTTTCGGTTTTCAACTATATTGAGATATATTGTAAATAATCCAAAAAACATAACATATTTAAACGTGGTATTTATTGTACACAATTCATATGGATCGAGAGACTTTTCAAATAAGTTTTAAAGGAGGAAGATTGTAAATTTTGATATTTTCCATAGGCACATACGTACGTGTACGTCTGTTTGTTTATTGTGATTCGATTGTCTGAGTATAATCGATTATAAATTAAGTATACATTTTTTCAGTTTTCCTAATTTCGCAAATTTAATGATAAAACGAATTTCAAAACAAAAAACATTGTTTTCTATCGGTGCTTATTAATTGAGAACTTATGGTATAATTCGTGTCACCGTGTAGTTATACGGACCGACGAAAGTAGAGATAATAATATAATTTTTTATTTTTGGCTGGCGTAACGTACGTCGTTCGTTTAATTTGCATAACATATTCCTATAGCTGCTGCGATGAGAAAACTTGATGACTTCATTTTGATAAGACGCGTCGTGTATAAGAAATAATAACAAGGACAAAAGATATAAATGTGCCGTCATAAATATGTTTTATCGTACGGCCGTGGTGACGTTCGAAAACGTTTGGGAAACCGATTTCCAAGCGAGAGTTGCTGTTGTATCGGTATTTCAGGTATTTTGTTTAAACGCCGTTTGAAATAGATTACACTTGAACTGAAAGAAAAATATAAATGGTGTTCCGTTGTTATAACAAAACTGCTAAGAACAGGAGTATAATCCTTTCTGTGTATATTTTTTGCTTTGTTTTTTACCGTATGTTTCAGAAGATATGTGTTTTGTTTATTGATTCTGACAGTTTATATTACTATTCAAGAAGTTTTTTACTGTCATTGCAATGAGTGTATAAATTTTCCCAAGTTTTAAACTGATATTTTTTACTCATCAAATCGTGAATAACACTTCAAAAAAAAAAAAAAATAATATTATTTTTGGTATATTAAAAAACATCTGTTACAGTATATTAACTCCAAAGACTCAATGGGTAGTAAAGTTGAAAGTATCTGGTGAGGTACAAAACTGGTGGTCGTGCATCGTGTTGGACGAATATTTTTTTTTTTGCTAAAGAAAAAAAATCGAAAAATGTTCCGTTTATAGTTCCATTGATTATAAATATTAGTACCAGTATTAGTATAAGTCTATACTTACAGAATACAAGGCCATAATCAGCAAAATGTTTTGTGGAGTCTCTGAGTGTAAATATTCTTTTATAGCTAGCAATCTTTAGAATTTTAAGTGTAATAGGCATCAAAATTCCTTCGGTTTCATTTTAAGAACCAATTCCGGGGGGGGGGGTTATACCTAAAACCCCTTCAGGTTTATGGCATTGGTAGTATAGCACTATAACTTGTGTTAGAAAGTACAACACGTTACATTTGGTACGTATTCATAGTACATTTACCGAATGCAAGTTTAATCACAGAAAATCAAAAGAAAGTCGTAGTCATTTTTGAACCAATACATTCCACGATTCGCTCTTAACTGACATTTCTGAAATTCGTCTTTACGTATGTGTCGAATACAGTATTTGTGGTTCAAATACCTCGGACGCACTACGTCTACAACACGGATCACACGTGAATAATAATAATACTGAAGATAGAAAATATAAGAATAATTCCCAACATGCTCAGAGCAACGTAATAATTATCGTTATTAATAACATTCACGTGAATTATCGCTATAATTGACGGGAAATATGTGTGTCGAACTCACGATAACTCCGCCCAAAGAGGAGACTGCACTTATAATGACGATGATAATAATAACAATATCAGTACACGTACGAGTGCAGTTCGTGGAGAAAATACTATTTTAGGGAACACGCGAACGGTATTCGACGTATAATATACCTAGGCGAAATGAGAAAACGTTATTAATATTCCGTACGCGTGTTATTTGGTAAGATATTGAAATTAGGAATTCCTTTGTGCATCGGAAGTACAGTGAAATCATTCGTTTTTGAGCTACGTACCTACCGGTTGCTGATAAATTTATCATCCTCGACGTGTTTTCGACCATGAGCTACCGCGAGTTACTTTCCGACGTGCCATTAAAATAATAATTACATAATAAGCATAATTTGTTGTCGCAAAACGTTAAAATATTTACAATATCTACAACAACGACCAAGACCAGATTTAATACATCGCACGCGTGCGAGTATCGAAATCTAATACAATATACGTATACATATATAATGATATAATCCAAAAATACAATAATTAATGTTCTCAAATAATTCCTAACTTAATTTCGACTCAAACGTGAACAACTTAAGTGTTGTAACATGGTAAAACACCACTTATTTATACGAACCGCTAAGTTACTATGGTTTTAAGTCATATGCAAATCGTGAAACTTTTTGTTTTTTTTTTTTTTTTTTTGTAACGCCTAAGTTCAGACATATTATAATTCATTATACGTAAAAATATATATTATGTAGGCACGTATAAACTGCGAAACGATACTAGACTTGATTTTTCACTATTTTAGCGGCAGATCTTCGATTATCACTCGCGGTCCCCGTTATGACCGATGTCAGATGTACATAATTAACGACATGTACAAATGAGGACAATTAACATAATCGAATACACTGAAGAATACATGTGATTGCGGTCCGAGGTACTCCATAATGCGAAAGTCATGTTATGCGACCCGCTACGCTCTTCCGAATGATATACATCGATGCTAACCGACATTTGTACGGCAGTAATTAATATGTATTCAAATATTGGTTAGGTAAATATGTACGGCCGATCACAGCTACGAAAACACAATTATTCGACGTGTAACGAATTTTCATCCGTAGTCGTTAGTGATGTTTAGACGTTCTAGATCAAGGGTCTTCAACTTTTTTTTTACGCTTTGACGTTGCGGGCCAACATTTTTTTAGAGGAATAGATATGTAACCAAATCGAAGAACGTCCAAGGATAGCGAAAATTTATTTAGATTTCGAAAAACGTATAATTATTTTTTTATTTCTATAGTTTGTTTTATCGAGATACGAGAGTTAGTGGACATGATGAAACTCCGTTGTTCCGATCAACGGCGTCGTGTTTGTCGCTCGAGTTGATTCTACAACCGAAGTGTTTCGTTTTCGAGAACGACTGTTCACGTTGAAATCATATCGCACGCTTATTTTTTTGGAACAATATCGACAAAAACATCGTTAAATCCAGCGGTCCGGAACCGCAGGCCGTAGGTCGGAGTCCCTTGTTCCGGCCTGTCGCGGTACTCCTAGCGTACGCGCATTGGCGCAACTAGAGGGGCGCAATAGGGTTTTTAGCGTACCTCAGTTGACATGTAGCATTCCTGTTTTTTTTTCAGATCTATATAATATATAGTAATTACAGTTGAATACCATTTTATTTTATTTTCAACAATTTTAGCACCCCCAATGTTTGGGCTCTAGTTTCGTCCATGGCGTACACACGGGCGTAACACGTGCACACGAATACACGCTCGGCGCATATTCGGAATGCGATTTTCACGATCATAATAACCACCGACTCGGTTGACGGCCCTAAACAAGGTCACGCGCCGGATATGTGTAGTCCTCCGACTGCGCGAGGATTCGTTGTTGTTGTTGTTGTAAATGCGGTCGGACGTTGCGATACGGCTTAACTTTTGGTGAGAACAAAGATGGGCCGGTCGGGGCGGGCGTGCGCGACCGAAAGAAAGGGAATCGCGGAGACATGAACGCACGCGCGCGACCGGACGGACGGAGTGAAAGACCGGTTTCGAGCGAAATAGCATATAAGGGGGTCCGGCCTACCCGACGGTTTCATTTTATCGGTGGCCCAGTGAAAACTCGAGTCGTGTGCGGTTTTCCTTCCGTGTCCGCGTCGAACAACAAACCCACGTGCGTTCCGTACCGTCCGCCGTTTCGTTTTCGAAGTCGCGTCCCGTTTTATTTTTATTTTTTCTCTACCCCGGTACACTTTGCAAACACGATGATCGCAAACAAGTTCACCGTGTTCACAGCGGTCGCGGTACTGTCCGTGATGGCGGTCGCCGGCTCGCCGGTCGCCCAGAAATCGGGCGGTGGCGACGACGACGCGAACCGTCTGCAGTACGCGGTCGTTCGCGAGGAGGAGCTGGTGCAGAAGCTGAACGCCAAGTGCGCGGCTCAAGACGTGTCCAGCTGCGTCATGCTCAAGTTGGTCACGTACATGAATAAGCTGATGAAGAAGAACACGCTGGAGTTCGGCGACATGATGGAGATCGCCAAGAAGGACGGACCGGCCGGCGAACCGTCGTCGGTCGACGTCGAGGAGACGGTCAGCGTGGACTCGGCCGCCCGCGGGTACAGCGACGAGTCCGCTTTCGGACAGGTCATGGCCGAAAAGCTCTGGAGATACGTGCAGACACGATCGCTGAAGATCAAACTGCTGCCCGAGGCCGACTTTGTCGTGTCCGCGTCCCCGGAACAAGACGGATCCCTAAACTTCGGCATGTCGTACCGTTCCGGCAAAGACATGGAATCCGGTAAGCCATCATTATAACCTTCCGATCGGAGAACGAATCTGTTCGTTTTCACCCCTTAAAATACATTTCGTTGTTGTTTTTATAACTATATCAGGATATATATATATGTATATGTCCGTTTTCTTAACCGTTACCGATGGAAATTTTTTTTTATTCTAAGAATTCATATTGTTCTTACTGATACGCGGTATTTTTGCGTACAGTTTGAAATATTTCTAACCAAACGAGATAAAAAATTATTCGTTGACAAAATATGAATTTCACATCAATTAGCTATTATTGTTTTCAAACAGGATCTTATTAGTACTATTGTGTTGTACAGTTAAGTATTTAGTTGCGAGAATAATCAATAGCGCAGTTTTAGTCCATGTATAGGCGCTAGAAATACAATGTAAATAGTAAATATTGTTACGGGTTGTCTTGCTGCCGGAATTACTATAGTTCGATTTTAAACGTTTGTGATAATTAAATGTGTTTTTACATCGTTCAGTTATAAACTGTATTAGTATAACAACCAAATGTTATAATGACGCGGATGTTCGATCGATTTAAGTTTTTACCGCCCAACACGTGTTCGAGGTAACGGATCGGAAAATTTGTTTGCTCGAAATGAATAATCGAACCCGCCTTAAAATGCGTTACTTTCAGGAGAAAAAAAATGAAAACTCAAGACAAGTACCGGTCAGATGAATATTTTTACACTACATACGTTACGGGTACGAGCTGATACGACGTTAGAAAAGACACTTCGTCATAGTATATAATATGATAAACGGTCGTAAATTACATGTGCGCCATAATAATATTTCATTTACGACGGTGAAATCGAACATTCGCCTGCACCGAGCGCTATATATAATGTTTCGACGTTACGGATATTTCAATCGAGTTGCAGTTTGTAATAATATTATAATTATTAATCATTTTTCGTAAACTCTTCTATTACGAACGTACGGAAATTTCGACTAGCGTAACTTGGCACCCCAACGTTGATAACTATTTTAATAATCTATACGCGTCGATCATTACATTCCCGTTTTACATATTTATAGAAATGTGATTTTAGGCACGTTCCAGTGGACTTCATGATTCAATACCGACGATTGTTGTCATTTCAATCCACTCGGCAACAATTGCAGTTACCTGGAACGTCAGTTTAATTTTCGTTGCCCGTTTGTCACAGCTATTAGAGTAGCTGCACAGTACTATTCGAAAGCCACGCAATAATACGCGGCGTTGATCAGTATTTTGCGATCTCGATCAAATTAATCTCGGACGATTGAATTGTACTAGCGGTTATCGCAATACCAAAGGTTTTCCGTGAAAACGGATAAATCGACGTGAAATCGCAGCGATTTTTGGTTTGCCGATCGGGACGGCGGCCAGAAGGAGATTGTGATTTATAGCGTTGAACTGTAACGATGATACGTTATACGTTGCAATGCAACATTAAGAACGACACGAGGCAAAACGCGTTTTTTTTTTTCATTCCTTCTCGATCGCGGACAAAATTATGACGCACGAATTCGCTCATTAACGCGGGTTCGACGTTTTTTCCGTTCTCGTCCGTGCGTCTCATCATCGCGACGGCGTGATTACAAATTTTCGAAACCCGTCGTTCCGTCGGCGCGTATTATTTGCGTTCATATGTCACTCATATTTCACGACCTGCGCGCGCGGCAATGAAAACGTATTTTCCGAAATCGATTCCGGGGCGTTCAACACCAGTTGTTTTCGGGTATCGAACACTGCGGCTGGTCGCCACGACCATACGTGTACGTTCGGTTTTCCGTCCGGGACGCGTATTTTGCAAATGTAGGTACACTCAGAACCGGGTTTCTCTGATTGGTCCGATTTGAATTCCCGCTTTTTTTCACTTTATTTCAAATGTCATATTATCGTTTAATATCATATCATATCATGTCTAAACATCGTGATTACAAACATAGAACATAATGTTGTTATATGTTCTATGTTACAAGGTGGATTGATATCAATCCACCTTGCGTGATTATATGTTAATTCCCGCTTTTTTTTTTTTATCACTATTCCAAATATATCGTTTCGTATCATGAAGTAATAGTAAATAACTAAAATCATAACAGTGGAAATCTCGTTTACGGTGGACTTTTACCGATTTTACCGTTTTTTACTTAGTTTTTCTCGATTGCTGGAAAAACTATTTTGAGATTTTGGAAAAATTACCTTTTTAAAGTAACATATCAGTCCAATTTCGAATCTAAAAAGTTGCTTGGCGTAACTTTTGAACCAGGATTTCTATACGAAAAAGTGTTTACAGAAAGAAAAAATAAACATCATTGTAAAACCATAAGATCTTTCGCATCACTCAGAATCTAAAATATATATACTTAACATAATTTACGATGAATTTGAAATAAAGTGATAAAAAAAAGCGGGTATTAAAGTATAATCCCGATATTTTAGACATGATATGATATGAAACGATATGATATTCGAAATAGTGAAAAAAAGCGGGAATTCTAATCGGACCAATAAGAGCAACCCGGTTCTGAGTGTACCCACATTTGCAAATTACGCGTCCGGGACGTGAGCGCGTACATCGTACTTCGGACGCGTTACAAACTGCGAGTCGATTAAACGTTCTCGCACAACACGCGAACAGTCGCCGGACGTACAACGATATCATTGGGAATTCACCGGGACTGTGCCGCGTTGCTGATGCGGTACCTACGTGACGGGAACTGACGTTTTTGACGCATCGTTCTCGCGTCGGTTCTCTCTCGTCAACCATCATCACGCGCGCGGACGCCCACAAAAATACAAGCACATACACACGCGCGACAATACAACTAGGTTATGGGCACACAATGCACACTTTTCTTTTCGAATCACTGTCGTTCGATTTCCGTCGACAACAATGGAAACGATTAACCGCGGGCGGGCGGGAGCAAGGACATCCGAACGGGCCATCGCCGAAAAATGATATCTATAAAAATCTCGCGACTATTGTCTACCCGTAGCCTGCTGCTCCTGCTCTGGGCGCGCGACGCGGCCGAAATCCTCCACGGGAATTTCCCTGTTTTCCCCGGACGCGGGATGTGTTCACGGGTCCCGCCCGCAACAATCGTGTTGCGAAACGTACGTATCTATGCGTATACGTGATGCGTGCGGTGTGTTCTGAATAAAACGCGCCGGAGGATCATCAATATTCGCCATCGGGTAGATCAGTGATGTTCTCGACCGGGGCGACACGAAATCTTCAAGGGAAAAGGAAAAAAAAAACAATTAATCTTAATAAAATCATATTATTGCCGCAACTGTCATGAAAATAGCGTACCTTCAAGTTTGTGCCTCTATATCATTTGGATCCGATAAATACGTGCAGTACTTTGATTTGCGAAATCGCTGCATTATCGATTGTCTTTTGATTCAACCGGGGTCGTTAGTCAGGTATTTTGCAGTCGCTAGATGTGTAGTGTTATGGTTCCAGACGACAATATAAGACTTGGTCTTTCCACCATCAGCCCTCGAATTTCTTTAACTTTGTAAAAACCACCAGGGCCCAATTTCTCATCAGTTTTCACACAAATAATTATTGTTTTTTCTCTCTTTTTTTTTTTTTTAATTTGCAAATTTAAAATTTTAACCGACAATGTTTATTGGACCTTGCAACTCAAATGAATTATAGGTGCACTTATAATTTTTCTGTGAAGTGTAATTTTTTTTTTTTGTTATTTCGAGAATTATTCTCAAAAACACATTTATGAGTGTGTTTTATTCTAGTGACTTAAAGTGATATGAACGAGAAAATATGAGAACCACTGGTGTAGATCGTTAAAATATTTCTCAGACTTATAGATACCAAATCGGGACGTTATTGAAAAGGAGACGGGAGTATCGTATTTTCAACAACGGGTGGTTATATTTCTATATCTTGTATACGAGTAATTTTACCAATATGAATGGAAAATCCGTATAATAACTAATAATTCAATCGATAATCGAAGCAATGTCATTTTGGTCTACTTATAATCTATTATATCCATTCTACAAGATAAACGAAATTTTATTACCAGTTGTATATAACTCGAGACAACGTTTTCTGTGTGAAGAAATTTAAAATGTTTACTCTATTATTCGACGATTTAAGATGTGTTTTTTTTGTACCGTTGATTCAAGTCAACGATCAATCGAATTCACTTAAGATAATCACGGTCCTCGACGTATACTCGTAGTACTGTTTTTTCTTATCGGTGTATTATATTAGTGTGTACTGACGACCATCGTTTGTAATCGTTTCAGGCCGGGGTAAGAACAAGAACATGGGACCCATGATGGCCGCCATGATGATGAAAATGGGCATGCTCAAGGTGCTGGCGTTCAAGGTGCTCGCGCTGCTCGTGGGAAAAGCTCTATTGATTAGCAAGCTCGCGTTCTTGCTGGCCACCATCATTGGGCTGAAGAAGCTGTTCAGCCAACAGAAGCACGTCACGTACGAGGTGGTAGCCCATCCGCATCACGAGTCGCACGGCAGCGATTCCTACAGCTCGGCCGGATGGGGCCGTTCCTCGTCCGAAGCCGCGCACAATATGGCCTACTCGGGCCAAACCCATTGATTTGAAGCCGGTGAGTTGGTCCAGATGTTTTATGTAAATATAGGTCAAATTAAAAATAATTTTTCTTTACCGCTTGCACCTGTGCGCGGCATTCCGTTAGACGGTTGAGAATAGAAGAAAAAACAGAATAAAATTCTCAAATTATTCGACGACGCCTGTTAAACTCGGAGTAATAATCGTTAAATCGTGTAAAATAGTTGCATAGTGTTATACGCCAGTAAATAAGTCGATAATAACGATGTAACTTTGACCAAAACGACGGCGCGATGACGTTTAGGGGTTAATAATAATAACCTACGACGTTATATGTAACCAACCCTGCGAAGGGTTTTCGAGCTTGTTTTCAAAACTTATCTTATTGTTTACGACGCGTTCAAAAACTTTGGAACTTAATGATACATTATATTATGATATTGTAATCGTGAACGACTATGGACTTACAGAAAAAAACGATTCCATTTTCATCCGGACCAACCAAGAAGTTTAACCGATACAACGTCACCGGTACCGTGAAAAGATCAAATTAAAATTATTACTCTCATCGTGTTTTATAATATTATAATGCTACAGTTGCTAAGCCCTTATTACGCGTTGTACGTGACGTATTCGATTTCGTTGCGGTGCTGAACAAAATAGGGCACCGAACACTTCTGGGGGATAATTGTTTCATTAAAACAGATACATTTTCCTACAATCAACGTACAGTTCATTACTATCACGTGGTATTTCTATTTAATAAAGAAAACGTTGTCCATATTCATCTGCAAAGGTGGGCATTAACTAGTTAATTTAAAAAGTTAATTTTTTTTAACTGTAAGGTAAAATGGTCGTATACATTGTGTATCAGATGTCGTATTAGATTTTGTAGGTTGGGGGGCCCACCTTTTGGTATTGGGTTCTAGCCGTGAACACGGAATGTTATGTATGAAGAATTTTAACTGTAAAGATATATAAATACGGTATAACCATAATAGTGGGTAGCCCCCTTGATGTAAAATGTCATTTTTCAATCACTTCGACGTCACAGCTGTTATTATGATAAAAAATTCAATAAAATTGTTTATTATAATTTAGGAAATTAGATCTTTCTAAAGAACGCAGTCACTTTTTATGTGATCTACAAACTAATTAAAAAAGTAGATCAAATTTTTTTAAGCTGAATCAAGTTAATATTTTTTCCTTATAACATTTTAACTTATCGAGTTTTTAACTGTTAATTCTTAACTTATCGATCTTGTGTTCTTTTAACTTAACTCGACTCGAGTTAATTATTTTTATAAACTTTCCCCTCCTTTGGTCATCTGAATCACGTAGATAAATCTTATGCAAGTTTTTCTTAACTTTATCATGCCTGTTATATTCAGGAATTTTAATTCGGCTCACGAACAAAAGGAAACGTCGCCAGATGCGTGCATGTAAACATGGAATTTTTTATAAAGATATAATATTACACGATATAAATTGATCAGGGCTTGATACATCATATATACAGTGATTTGCACCGACGTGTTTGTTGTTGGTAAAAATTAAAAAAAAAAAAAATCACCGAGTTTAAATAATCAGAAACCATAGTGAAATGTACGGAAACTGATTTTTTACGAAAACATTGTTGTTTAATTATTTTTGTAAATGTCCTACGAAAAACGGGTCTGCGGCATTCGGACATGAAATTTGAAAAACAAGCCAGACCGTTGAATAAGTTCTCTCAGTTAATTCGATTTATTCCTTAATGTCTTAAGAACGTACAACGTTCTATAATTTAACTAAAATAAATCTCGTGTTAACAAAAACACAGTTCCAGTGCTTAACTCCCGGCGTGATTAATAGAGCTTGAATAATAATTTTTTTTTTTTTTGTTTTTTTTACACATAGGTAACTGCACGAAACATCAACATCGCACGATGAACTCAAGTCCTATCACTACTACAACTACTACAATTACTACTACTACTACTACTACTACTACTAGAATTATTAAAACTGTTACAACTGTACCGTACACGCACATACATTTGGACGTTTAGTCAGCATCTACTCCCGTGCATCCGGTGCCCGAGCAATTAAATCATTCCAAGCCAGCGGAAAGATGAAAAAAATAATTATGTGAAACACACGATATTTATTTATGTTAATTAATTTTGCGTTTAGTTCTTAGTTAATTTATTACATGTTGTAAACGATGCGCCATCTCCCCGCGGTCGAGTCCCACGCGACGCGTATATATCATTGTAATGATGTACTCGTTTTAGGAAATACGAGTAGCTCAACCGCACTCGTGCAATCGATTTCGCCGCGGGATTAGATTTACAATTTATTTATTATTATATTTATTTGTTTATTTTTATCGCGTATCTACGTAAAACACGTGAGTACAATAATTATTATATACACCCGAACGGCTAATGTAGCTCTCTACAACCCAAATATTGTTGTTGTTAATGATATTGTGTATTTTAAATATTACATTACTTGTTTGGAACAAATTTATTTTTAAATTATTACCGCATTAAAACGCGTTTTAATGTGTACAACGTAATAATACTGTATCTACTGTGTGGATAGTTTATAAGATTTTAATAATGTAACACGGTGCGCAAACGATGTCCACGATGAGGTATTGAAAATAATAATGTTAAGCGCGGACAACGATTGTATTGTGTTCGTTAATACGGATAATGATAAAAACACGCGTTGTAGTTCAGCCGAGAGAGCAGCACAAAACAATACGATATTGTGATTTTTGTATTTTTTTTTCTTTTTATACCATAAACACATCACACCGCCATGAATGTCCCAAGTACATAAAACATATCGTTATAGCGTATACGTTACCGGTAAACGCCGAAAAGGTTTGTCGGCAAAAGGAAAACAAAAAACCACGAACCGCCATAAGAATTGTATTGTATATTTTCACGTTTATATAATAATAAAAAAAAAAAAAAAAGACGAAAACGACAATTTATCGTGTTTTTTTCTAAAAAATACCTGTTATTATTATGTTGTTTCGAGCAAAACGTAAAATCGAACGCGGAAACGAATAGACGAATAAATAAACAAATAAATAATATATTATCGATACGATGTAGTACGACGGTGGGGTGTAAACCGATCGGTCGGACGTGTCGTACCGGGGCGAGAGTAATGACAGGACGACGCGGGCGGCGTAAAAAACTACCCGAACGGCCAGACGGATGAGGACGGCCCGCGGAAACCGTGTTAAGGCCGTTCGGTCGCCGGTCACTGTATCCGCCCGGCCGGACCGGACTTGCCGTCCGACTGACCGCGGTTGAGGACCGGCCGGTACGTGACCGGGCTCACGTGCGAGTAATGGGCCTGCATGTCGCCGCCGCCGCCGCCGCCGCCGCCGAAATCACCGGTATGCATGTACTGCTGCTGGGGCGGCGGTCCGTACTGGTCGGCGGCCGGCTGCTGGTGCTGCTGATCCATGTGTTGTTCCTCCGCGTACGAGGACTGCTGCGACTCGGGGTAAGGGCCGCCCATCATGGACATCGGGGCCGGGTGCTCGTCGAAGTGCGGCGGCGCCGAAACCCATTTGATCACCTTCTTGGCCGGCGCCTGCTTCATCTCCATCATCTTGCACAGCAGCAGGTACAACCCGATGATCAGCCCCAGCTTGGTGACCAGGAACGAGTGAATGATGAACAGCTTGATCGCGCCCATCGCCTTCATCATCATCATGCCGCCGGCCGCGGCCCCGACCATCGCCATGGCCATCTTCATCGGTTTCTGCTTTTTGCCCCGACCTGCGAACAGCGCACACCTCTTACACTCCGATTCCACATGATAGGGGGGAGGGAGGGAGGGAGGGAAGCTCGCCTCGGGGTTTACGAAAAAACGAAAAAAAGTCGTGAGCCAACACCGCGTAAACTTCTCCTTGACCTACGCGTAAGGTACGCGCTGTATTAGATCCGATTGATCGTAAAAGGAAAAAAAAAAAAATAATTAACAATCGGGTGCGTAACGAACAGTTCAAAAATTGTAAAAAATTCGTCGTTTCTCTATTTTGTACGGTCTCGGCCCAGAAACGGGCTACGCTTTCGACATTTATAATATACCCCTGTGTACAAGATCAATAAGCTGCTCGAAATAATATTGACCGTGCTGACCGGGAGACGGGTAAAAATTGTATTATGCTCGAGATCAGCGGTTCCAAAACTTTTCGGAAATTTGTTGGTACTTTGCCTTGTTCCAGGGAACAATTGGCCGCAATAGACCGTAGAATGGATTTATTTAATTTTTTCGTATGGCTCGACAAAAAATCAACAGTAAAGTAGATTGAATTTTATATAGTAATAATGAAATTAAATTTGAATAAAACTATGAAGATGTATGACATATACGATTTTAAATATAACAATATCGCGAACAATTGTGAAAAAACTGATTGGAAGTAGTTACACGCCAAAACGTTTGTTTTGGTCAAACCATTTTATAACGCGTGTCAAGTTCAACTAAAATCGCATAGATAGTCGTTGCGTTTACCCTGTTTTCACGGGACCAATAAGTTCAAATGCGATGTATTTGTTTAATTCTTGCATTTAAAACACCCGGTGTCAGATATTAATAATGACTTATCATGCCGTGGAAAAATCAATTTAGCGATTTTAATTTAAAAAATAAAAACGTAACTATAATGTACGTTGCTCATTTTCATAATTTGGGTTACAATCATATTATTAAATCATTATATTGTGAAATATTCGTGTTCTTTATACCGTATCCGATTTTTTTTTTAATATTTGGTTAACGACGTACGTTTTTTAATATGTATCAGTAATAAGTACTTAACCAATATTATGAATTAATGTGGACGAATTAACCTCTATAATAAATGTTCATAAAAATAAACTTTATAATAATAAAATATAATTATTTTGATTCTTTGCAATAAGTGATCCGTTTATTTAATTTATTTTTTTTTAACTTGAGCTATACATTTCTATTGTTCACACTATAAGTATTTCGAGATTTTAATTTATTTTTAACGAACCTCCATGTAATATTATATACGCTATAATTTACTATTACCGATTACAAAACATCCGTTATTGTCCGTCGTAAATTAATAATTTAATTAGATCGATTATATGATTATGATTATAAATTTTCAATCCACTAGGAAAACATAAGGGATGTTAAGCGAACACGAATTGAATGGGTTTTATTTTCAACATCATGTGCTTATTCACTATTATGTTATACTGTAACAATGTATAATTGACATTGCAGATACATAATATAATGGCCGTACAATAGAACGCAATAATTTTGTAAAGTATTATAATATTATTATTATCATTCTGTCGTACATGAATGGACAAGAGATTTCACCGCGTACATTGTTGGAAATAATTTAATATTGTGATAAATACGAACCAATCAAATGCAGTAGATGATGATGGTTAAGAATATTGAAGCTTTCAAACATCGCGACGGACTAATCATATTTTTCATTTATCGTTAAAGTGCGAATATTTTTTTTTTTTTTACAAATATGTTTGTAATACACAGTGGTAGATATTATTTTCCCACACTCCGATATTAAACGATTAACCTAATACGGACTAATATGGTTAGCTGTGTTCAATATGACTCGCGATTCATTTTCGAGACTGTACGTAATATTTTTAATCCTCCCATTAAATGCATCACTTTCAGTGAGATCGAAATTAACATGGCGATGTTATTTTCATTATTTAAAAATATGATAGTACTAAAATATCAAAAGATGCGCATTCGCGTTTAAGTTGAAATTATTGAATTTTATTTTCATGTTAATCCGTATCTTATGATTAAATAGCGCATGGAACCAATACAGTACTACTGATAAAGTTCTAGATGTTTTATTGTTAGGTGATGTCCAAAATATAGAAATAATTAAAAATAATAGACTATCGACGAGCATATTGAAGATAACCCAAAGAAAATTGAACTGCAATATCAGAATAAAGGAATTATATAATAGAATCGTATTGTGAATTGTATTATAAAATGGTTTATAAATTTATTTCGCTGGAGCTTTAATACTATTCGTAAACTTTAAACTATAAGATACCGGTTGCAAAGTTAACATACGTCAGCCCTGGGTAGTAACAGAAAATTGAAGCTGAATAAAAGCTGCTAAAATAATGTAAATTTTTTCACATTTAAGTTCAGTACTCGAATAACTGATTTATTTACAGCATGATATTTATGGGCTTAACTATATAACTTCAACTATTAATTAAAAATGGCGCATTTAATATTTTCAAACAGTTCGTCTTTCAATCGCTCCACCCCTACTCGCAAGTGTTTTGGCTGCACGCGAATTTCTTGAAAGATATGAAAGCGAGGGGGAAACTTTTCATGACTCAATTGTGACTGACAATGAAACGTGAGTAGGTCACTACACTTTTAAGTCTAAAAGGCAGTCTATAATTGCGTCATACCCATTCACCATCAAACAAAAAATTCAAAATCCAACTTTCAGAGAGGAAGATCATGGCAACGATTTTTTGGGACCAAAAAGGGATGTTATTGGTCGATTTTATGCCTAAAGAAATCACCATAAATGCTGCTGCATACTGGGAGACACTCAAAAAGGATAAAAAGAGATGAATGGTGACTCGTGGTGTGTCACTCATTCATGATAACGTTAGACCTCATATTGTTCGTCTCACTCAGGATCTGCACGTTTAATTTGAATAGGATATTGTGACTCGCCCACCCTATTCTCCGGACCTGGAACTATCGGATTATCATCGTTTTAATAAATTGAAAGAGTTTTTGGGTGGTCGACGATTTTTAAATGACGAGGAAGTCCAGGATACCGTCGAAAAATGACTTCGGGAGGTGGAGCGGAAGGTATGCGATGAGAGTTTACAAAAACTGGTCCCTAGGCTTCAAAAATGTAATGACCTCAATGGTGATTATGTAGAAAAATAATGATAATTTGACATTTATCTTGTACATTTCATTTAAATATATTAATTTTTCAATTTTTAACACATGCTGTAACTTTAATTTCTGAACGTTCTTCGTATTTTTTTCCTAACCCAGGCTACGCCCACAAACTATTACGCGTATACGGAGAGTGGAAGTGTTTCGATGCAGATGGTTGGACGGTTGGAGGACTCACCTTCTACGGAACCGTCGATCATCCAGGAGCCGAGCAACTCGAACAACGTGCCGGAGGACTGGAACCCTTGGGTTTCGATGACCTTGGTGATCTCGGACAGGCTAGGTCCTTCGGGAACGACTTGATTGCCTAGGGCGACGGCATCCAGGGCGGACGATGCGGCGGCGGTGAGGGCGCACGACCACAGCACGGCGGCGCAGGTGACGATCGCGATCGGCGTCATGATCATGCGAGTAATGGAAACCGTTTTCCGACGTGTTTCAGCCGTGCGCGGTTATGTGATTTCGGACCGCGACGAAAAGTTCTTGAAACGACACGTACGTATGGATGACCAGTGCTCGCGGACTCGGACGGGCTGCGTGTGATGTCGGGGACCGCGACGTGTAGCGTTTTTATGCGCGTTCCGGGCCGTGATCGTTGCCCGCAAACGCCGTTGACCGTGCAAAACACACCCACAAACACACACACACACACACATACACACACACACATATTCCGAAAACACGTGTGCGCGCACCGAGCCCGTCCAGCAGAGGAAATTAACGACGGTAGTTATTATCGTATCATCAGCGATGCGCCTTCGCGTATTAGTCGTTTTAACGGGTCCGCGATCCGTTAACACATAGGTCCACGGTCAGGTCACTGCGGTTAGGTTAGGCCACCACGCGTTGTACGCAATTAGTGCACGCGCCTTTGCCACCGCGTCCGATGAACACGTGTTTATTAATCCTGGTCCTGCTGAGTCGTTGCACAAGCCAGTTCAGAGGATCAACTTCTCTTTCTCTTACTCCTTTTCACGTGCACATCACTGTGGCATGATCGTTTTCGATTCGGCTGACGAAGGGGTGTTTCGATATTTATCGGTCCGAGCACTTATTGTTATTAAAAATCTTGTCGACATGTTTGTTTTCGTAATACACGCATGCAAGAACAGTTTAAAACTTATCGAAGGACATCCCTGCTGATTGGTGTGCGTCGCAAACATTTTGACGTGATCGAGAAAAACGTGTGCATGCGATCTCGTGCATTGACCGTGTGCTGGACATCGTTCTTCTCGAAGTGGAACACACAGCTTTAGAATAAAATAGAAAATGTTTGACGGTTGAATATATCGATAGAACTTCAAAACGAACCGGTAAAGAGTACGGGTAAGGTGAGAGGGTTTCCGGATTTTGTAATTGTAATATCTGACGTCGAGGTAAAATGTTTTTTTCATTTCCACTCCGTAACTTTATCGATAACAGTTCGTTTCGGGTAAATGTACACATTTTCCGATGACCATGCGTTTGAAACGCACGGGTATAAAACCAAATTTGTAAAGATATGAACAGCGACAAAGAGATGGTTTCCCATGGTATTAGGATATCAAACACCAATAGTTTTCGGTTTATACAACATTTCACGGTATACCCAAATTGTTGCGGGACAAAAATAATGTCCGTTCAAAAACGTGTGATATTCATTCGGATTGCATAGGTATAGTACGCAGCAGTACACGTCTAAAGACTGGTATATTTTTAAATCCATAATCAATGCGATCGCAAGATGTGAACGACAAACTGGTATCGCTAATAACTCTGATCAAACGAGAATATTATGATATTACGATGATACGTTAAAATCATAATATTTCCGTCGTCTCTCTGTGAAAAAAATTCTAGCGATTTAAATAGAACGTACTTAACGAACCGGATCCCAACAGTATTACGGACTCGAAGCCGAATTCAACGAAACGAAATTTCTATCCTTATTAATTGTTTCCCCCGCCACCGATGTCCTTACCTTGGTATCGCCGTAATATTGTCCTAGACTTTGCTATCCGCTGAGGAAGATATAGCAAAAACTTTGTGTATTACTAAAAAATATGTGTGCAGTAGCAAAGTCGTGTTGTTACTTTGGAAATAAATTAATCGGTCATTTTCGTACTTCGACAAAAAAATATAAGACAATATTTTTTACAAGCTATTATTTTTATTGATATTATTTAGAAAATTAAAAATGTTTAATAAACGAGTAATTTTGATATAGATAATCGAATCAACCTCCTATCTACTTTTTAACTCCTTTTACAACCTATTCCACTCCTCGTCCCTTACCATCATTATTGGCGGATATCCATGGGAATTCGAGGATATACCGAGCCACGGAAGGCTTTGCTGTACAAAATGTCGAAGCGTGTGGGGAGGTATCAGTTTTTTTGTGTGGAGGATGGCTAAACCCCCCCCCCCCCATTATTACTATTACGATGCGCAGTAGCGAAAATAATAAAAATGATCCTCGGGAAAATCTCTAGAATTTCTCGATTCGTCCGGGCCCTTGAAGATTAATATCTTTACGGACGACGCGCTATACTTCGTTGAAACCGATGTTGCACGGCCACGGCTGTTCCGTCGGTCATCACGCGATAGTGCAACGTGCACGGGGACGAAGAGCTACAAACAAGTTGTGTCCGGTGTATTTTTTCGGGTTACAAGAATTATGTCGAAAAAATAAAATATACGGGTACCAACAAAAGTTTGAAACACAAATGGATACATTTTTTCAATTACAATATTACACCTACAGAAATGTGTATAGCATTTTACACGAAAATAAAAGTTGTTCCGTTACATTAATTTATAATAATGATTATGGTATCTGTATGCAATAACAATCATTGTAAGTATTTGCAAATATAACAATATCTAGAAAAGTACGAATTTGTAAACAATAACGATCGTAAGCTTACAACGACAATCTTTGTACCTCCGCGCACGCCTTATAACTACACGACAATAGTAACGAGCAAAATCGACTTTTATTCGGCGAAAGTCTTACGCAATATACCTGGGTATTTATACGACGATGTAATGGACACAATTCTGGATTTAAACCAACATAAAAAACGATTTCGTTTTGATTTACGAAACAATATATCAAAATCCTTGTGCAACACATCGATTTAAATCTACCTCGATTTTAGGGACACAACTCGTGCACCACATTTTCGTCATCGGGACACAACCCCGGCACCCCAGTTTTATTTAGGATTCCGTTTCCGAATTTCCGTTAAAAAAGTGCGGCCGCGCTCTGAATGCGCCTATAATGCGTGCCAACGTTTTCCGCGTTGAGCGTTACACGTTTACCGGTACGCGCGTCCACGTTACTTGCGATATTCGCGTGTCCGTCGGAACGAAGAAAACCGTGCGTCGAACGCGAAACGCTGTAAGGCGATATCGCGATTTTTTTGTTTTTTTTTTTTTTTATGGTCGGGGGACATTCGTCGCTTTTCAGCAACAACGCGTACCGATAACTGTCGATCGTTACGTACGTAGTTCAGTTGTAACTAATAAACCATCACGGACAAGATCACCGTACTCGTCACTGGTGATCAATAAATACTAAAAATAATAAAAACAGTACGCAGTACCGAATGGGATCATGTTTTAACGTACAAAGCACGTGGCACTAGTGCCCTCCCCTTAAGTGATAATTGAACGCTACCCAGCGGTGAGTGATCGTGCCACTGACCAACACGATTTCATAACGACCGTAATGGCAGGAGTTGATTTTCCCTGTATGTTTCTCTGCAGAACACCACGTCTATGAACTACGATGGTTGATGATTTTATTCAAGTGCCACCCAGTGAATATTATTTCAAATACGTTCTGCTACGAATTATGTATGAGCCACTCGAAAACGTGTACAGAACGATCCGTTTGCGTGGACACTTAAACTTATCTTTCAACAGTAGTTGGACCGCCTGCGACCAGTACAGCGTTTATAAATCGGTAAATCGTTTCTGCTAATCGCCTATAGTTCGTTTGCATTTTGAATTCGTTACGTTCGACTGTTTTCGACAGACGGTACGAAACGATTGATTTATGTAGTGGCCGCTTTCGTTGTAATCATAATTTCGCCGCAACTCATATGTATCGTGTGATAAAACAAATGTAGTTAATAATGTACTGTTAATCGTAAACCACACAAGCTTCAAACAAGGTCTCAAAATATCAAAAACCACAGTTTAAAATTCGAAATAAATTACATCAATATTCGACAGCTTCATACTCGATAATTTCCCACCACATGGTACACCAGTAGAAAAAAAATGCCGACGATGAACTTTTTATTTAGTTTTCAAGATTATTTGGTTGATTTAAAATTATTTTATCGGTGTTTTACAAAATAAACCGTTAACAAAGCACGAACATTTCAAATGCCTATAAATAGCGCAAGAAAATTCGAAATCTTACCATCCCTAGAAATTGGTATTATTGTAGCCTCCGATAAAAATGTCAATTTTCTACGACTGTTGTTTTTTTTTTTAGTTATCGAAAAAATAATTCAATTTTGTCGAGAAATTCAAAAACTGACCTCCTGAAAGCATCGATAAACAACATTTCTATTAGAAACCACCCTTTTTTTTTTGAATGATCATAGTGCGCGTTGTGATAGAAATCGTGTAGACGAAAATAATAATAAAATAAAATTCATGGTATAACAAATTGGTACATTCCTAGCTTCACTTAGAATCAAGCGAAGCAATTAATATTATTATGTTTATGCATATTAATTAGTAGTAACTCATGCTTTTTGATGGAAGTCATGTATCTTAACCATAAATTTACTGACCATGACGCGTTTATTGTTAAAACATTATTTTACGAAAAATAGAATATAATAATAAATTATATATACATTTGTAGTATAATAAAATTATTCCATCATTGAGGTTAAGTAAGTCAACTTAAACATTTGAGATAAACGTTTTGCTCAAATTTTTTAGAAGACGAAAATAATTATGAATATAACATAGATATTATCGTACCTATACAAGATAGAATTCTTTTCTGTCGTACACAATATGTGTTTTGTGTATCGGTTTCGATGTAAGGTTAAAAATATGTTTTTATATCATACCCATACGATATATGAAGTATCTACATAGTATATGATATACTGGAAACAGTTGGGTACTAATGAGGTCATGCACGTTTGCCATTTGGAACACTGAAAAATTTGTAATTCTATTTTTCATTATTATTATTATTACTCTAATCCTAATGATCTCGACGGTGTAAAGTATAATGCTAATGGTAATTTATATTCTTAATTTACCAGACAGGAAGGATACGGATCGGTTGGGTAGTCAATTACATGTACTGTTGTTAATCGTAAAAATATATTATTCATGTTTCATTATTTCCAATTAACGTATTACTTTTTTTTTTTCTAGCCTTTTAATAAAATCATAAAGTTGCAATTATGCTCACACCGACTTTGAACTGTTACTTTTTCATAACCTATTTGAGTCGATAACTCAATTTAATCATTTAGTTCACTTGACTCAGTTCATTCTAATGATTTGAT